TTACTCCTTCTTTTAGGTTGACCTTTTAAGATAGAACTCTGACTCTTAACAAAACCAAATATATAGAATAACTTTCAAGACATTAATTTCAATCAAGACATGAAAATAAGTGTTTTAATGACAAAGACCCACTTTTAGGATAACGTGCAAGTAACCGATTTGATAAAAATGACTAAGATCCACATTACGAATTAAGAATTTAAAGATCTTATGTTTTTTTTATTATTCCAGGGGGCGTCTGGGGGAGGGGGTCTGGGGGCCTGGAGTAAACTTGGCTGAAACTCACTCCATTGAGTTTCGAACTCTTGACCTCCCATAAGGGAGAGTGAGTCGGCTACCAGCTGAGCTGGACCGCTTCCTCCTTATGTATTTTTTTTAAATACATTTTTGCTTTGCACCCTACTCGGTCACAACTAAAAAATTATAAGAGAATACATTGACAGAGAACACTCTCAAAGTGTAACACCCTAGAATTCGATATAACCAATATGATATAAAGTCACTTTACCCCAACGTAATCCAAATTCTAATTGATAGTTCACCAGAATACTACTAATAATGATATTTAGAGAAAAGGGAGAGCTAAATAGTAGAGAGAGAAAAAGATCTGATAATAAATGAGTCTCAAACTGTTACATTGGTCGCGAGGGGTATTTATATTAGTAAATATGTTAGGTACATTAAATACACATACATATGTAAGTTAGTCTATGGTAAAGCCCTACAATGTAGAAGAACTCGATGCATGGCGCTTGAGGCTGGGGAGACGAAACGAGGTGTTTTCCTGGGTAATTTACGTAATCCTTTTCGTCTATCAAGATGTTCGTGAGGTGGTGCCCTCAGCTATCTGAAGATGGAGTCTATACTTGCTTGTTTGGACCGCTTGTATGTAATGATGAGTGTGTGGCTCGTGGTCTTGGACCATATACTCTATGAGAAGCCCCCACTCTATGACGCGAGAGGACTTGAGCTAAAAGGGAGCAGAGTTTTGTGTTGATATTCTCTTGATATGATTTTTTTTTTTTTTTGTATTCTGGAGGTTGAGGTGTAGTTCCCCATTCCCCCACCGCTTCATGCTAAGAGTAATGGTGTTTGAAGAAGGAGGCGTTTTTTAAGCTGAGATGTGAACATGAATTCGAGTCGGGGATCAGATCTATTTGACAAACCCTAAACAAGGAAATCATGTGGAATAATCCTTAGACAAAGATCGCTGGCCGAGACCATCACCGACGGTCGAAGATGAGATGCAACACATGTGTTGGCATGTGCTGAGTGGAGCCAGCGTGCTTTTCGGCAGCTGATGGTAGTCCACTGTTTAGCCGAAGGGCTACTTTTTTAGATTGTTAGCGGTGTTATGAGATGGATCTCCTAGTTAGGTGAAAGGTCTGCTATGAGTGGTTCATCATGTGATTATACGACATTGCAAAAATATTGACCTTAACATTCAGAATTTTTCACAATTTATATATATATTTCTTCGAATTTAAACAAGTTTTTTATGTTTTTTAATATAAAAAAATCTGCAATTACAAGGCAAAACTGATTAAATGGCCAGATTGATCAATGTTTTAAAGAGGAAATGGTCAATTGAGTACATCAACTTATATGAGGTGGAGTAAAGAGTACACTATATTACATTTGATATTTGTAAGTACATAAATTCGGTTATTTAATGTTAATTGAGTACACTTGTTAAATTATTATGTTAATATGACTGAGTTGGCTAATGGAATGCTGAGTAATGGACCAAGGTTATGGCGCTCACCTTCACGAAGTTGACCAAAAAGGGAAACTCGACCTTCGGAGGTCGACCTGTGGGGACGTTGGTCAGCAGGGGTGCATCGACCAAGGAAAAGTCAACCTGCGGTGACTGACGTCGACCAAGAGGAAATCGATCAAGGGGCTGAGGGTTGTCGTCAATCTTCAGGAAGTCGACGTATTAGCATTATGTTAGTCGACTCTAACGAGTGTACTCAATTAACACTAAAAATCGAGTTTGTGTACTTAAAAAGATCAAATGCAATATAGTTTACTCTTTACTCCAAGTCATACAAGTTGATGTACTTAATTGACACTTACCTCATTTTTAAAGCAAAAAATGAAGTAGATGCGGCCCCATCCTCTTCAATTTGATGTCAAACTTCCAAATGGCCACATATATCATCAAAGCGTGGTTTATGAAACCTTCCCCAACTATTGTTTTCATTGCAAGGCTTTTGGACACCACTCCTTTACATGTAAAATCCTTCATGAATTTGAGAGGAAAGAAAGGGAGGAAAAAGAACCTCCTACAGAAACAAATAAGCTCACATTGTTCCAAGTTGATGAACAAAGAAGGCAAATCTACACCATCAAAGCAAAGATTGTGTGCTATGATGAAGCCCATACTAGAGCCGTGCCTAACATCAAAGACAAAGCCAAACTCGTGGCTACTCTCTTGTATAGGGAAGAGGGGGAAATCATAGAAGATAACAATCCTTTGGTAGAAGAACTTGTTAAGGGGTACACTAGAAAGCATTGCTCCCCCAGGTGTATGATCAAGGTTGACCTCCGGAAAGCCTATGACACCATCTCTTGGGACTTTCTTAATAGTGTCCTCCTTAACATTCTGTTTCCTTTGCAATTTGTCAAGTGGATAATGGAGTATGTTTATACTGCTTCATTTTCTATCTCCCTTAATGGGACACTTCATGGATTCTTCCGGGGTAAGAGGGGACTAAGACAAGGTGATCCTATGTCCCCATTCTTGTTTGTCCTATGTTTGAAATACTTGTCTAGGTTATTGAACTTGAGAACTACCTCTGATTTCAACTACCACCCCAAGTGTGGTAACTTAAAGATTTCACACCTTACATACTCCATTAAGATTTTGATAGATGTACTTAATGACTTTGGAAATGTCTCGGGTTTAAGGGTTAACTTTGACAAATCAAACATTTTTTGGGTGGGTTTAAGGACCATGATCTCACGGCTATACTTGATCTGGTGGACTTCAAAGTTGGAGCCTTTCCTGTCAAATACCTTGGGATCCCCATCCCCCCCTAAGTTATTTGTGGCCGAATATGCCCCCCTTTTGGAAAAGGTTTCAAATTATCTTAACTCTTGGAATTCTAAAACTTTGTCATATGCTGGCAGAACTAAACTGATTAAATCTATTATCCAGGATGTACATTCTTTTTTGTTACAAGTGTTCCCTATACCTTAAGCTATCCTTGATAGAGTGGTGTCACTTTGTCGTGTATTCTTTCGAGGATGCAAATTTGCCAGAGTTGCTTGGGCAGATATGTGTCTCCCAAAGGAGGAAGGTGGCTTGGGTATAAGGCATACCAAAACATGGAATAATGATTTACTTTTTAAAATCTTGTGGGATATCCATCTCAAAAGAGATAATCTTTGGGTGAATGGGTGCATGGGGTCTATCTTAAGGGTAGAAGTGTATGGGAATTCTCCCCACACACTAGGGACTCCCAACTTATGAAGAAGTTCGGGCTGATCCGAGACATCCTTGTCTCCAAATTTGACTCTGTTGGGAGCACAATTGAAGGCCTTTCCAAGTTTGATAACAATGGTAAATTGTGCTCCTCTAAAGTTTATGATTTGATTAGAATAAAGGGTACTAAACAGGTGGGGATGCCCTTTATTTGGAAAGCCTACATATCACCTAAGTTCTCATTCATTGCTTGGCTTGCTTTCCGCAACCGCCTTGCAACTTATGATAATCTTAGTAGGCTAGAATTGATTAACATATGTCCTTTTTGCAAGGGTGAACCGGAGACGGTACCACACCTATTCTTTGGTTGTCATTTCACAGGTATAATTTGGAGCAAAGTCAGAGCATGGATTGAAATGCCTAGACAGATGTCTACTTTGGGTAGCTCGGTGGATCATGAAGGACCATGCAGGTGCGGGAAACAAGGCTAAAGCTGTCCGTATTGCCTTCATCTATACTGTATACTGGATATGGAGAGTGCGGAATGCAACCAGATTTGATGATGCCAAAGCTCATGAAGAGGATGTCTTTGCTAGGATCTAATACATGGTGTATAAGAACCTCTATAATATTTATCCCCATGAACTTGTTGCTTTTTAATACCTGATGCTGTGAGCTAGCTCACCATTATTGTGTTGTTTTGGGCAGTTTTGTATGGCTCTCAGGTTATGATATATCCCATGTTGGGATAGCCCCATTTTTTATCCCCTTTTTGTTTGCTTTTCTGTACATAAACTCTTTTGGAAGATGTATAATTACCCTTTATCCAAAAAAAAATTAAAGCAAACATACTTAAATGATACTTCCTCCGTTCTTTTTTAGTCGCAACGGTCAATATTTCACACTTGTCAACGCACGTCTTTGACCGTAATTATATCTTAATCTCTATTAGTAAAAAATATTTAAAAATTAGATTTTGAAAATTTGTAATGAGATGAATTGAACAATATTTTTTTAAAAAATAATTTTCATAAAATAATAATATAAAATGTAGTCAAAGTAGAACATGTGAATAGTGTAAAATTCTACATGTTGCGATTAAAAAGAGACGGAGGATAGTACTTTTTTAACATAAGGCTTAAGTGATGTATTGAAAATAGTAGAATGATTTGTTTGATCTTTTTCTCTATACCTTTTCATGTTGGTTAGTTCTTGAAGGAATTCATCTTGTAAAATTCATTGCGCATGTTATACTAAATCAACCTAAAAATATTGATAGTTCATACAATTAAGATTGTTTCCATTTCAATTATGTATATCGAACTTGAATTATGTATATCAAACTTGACTTAAAATGAGATCAAATTTAAAGAAATCATATCAAATCACGATCACATCACATCAAACAAAATTGGAAGCATCTAGGTTATGACCACAATAAAATATGGTGTGTTAAACTAGACCAAACTAGATCAAAGCTGAACTCAAACTAACACAGATTAACTTAAACAAGTGAAAACATATGAACACACGAGATTGAAGACATGTACAAACCGGATGGATTTGTGTCAAAGTGTTTGCCTTGTACTATGTATGTGAATCGCAATTTAAATAATAATCATCAACTTCATCAATAGCGGTTACAACTTACAAGTCTCTAAATTTAATCAATTCGTAACTTACTACACATTTATAACTTTACAAAATGGGAAAAAATGAAGGAATTACATATATTCCCCTATCTAAATATATAGGAAGTAGTATATACTACCTCCGTTCTCTTTTAGTTGCAACATTGGATTTTTGCACTATTCTCATCTTCTATTTTGACTACATTTTATTAATTGATGTATAATAAATTAAATTTTTAAATAATATTGTTAAATTCTTCTCATTCTAAATTTTCAAAATATGAATTTTTTAATTTTTTTACTAATAAGGAATAAAAGATATTAATGGTCAAACCTGTGCATTATTGGTAAACGTGAAATGTTGACTGTTGCAATTAAAAAGGAATGGAGAGAATATATATGAGGTGTCATCAGAATCATGTGTAGATGATGGACCATAGATGTGCATAACTTTTTCTAAAACAAATAAAACTAATTATTATTATTATTACTATTGCTATTATTAGTATTATCATTATGATATGTACATAAAATTTAAAACACTTGAGATCGATCCTGGGTGTAGTTAATATTCTGAATGCATGCATATTATGAATGATGATGATGATATGCATCATCATAGTGACCTCCGAAGGTGATTTGAGCTCTGGTGATGGCAAATCCAGAAATGTCTCCATTCATCTTTCTTGCTTGTCCTACCATCTGAAAATTAACAAGCACGCAATAAATACTACGGAGTATAAGAAATTGAATTTTGGTAACGCTTAGAAATGAATGAATGAATGAATACGAGAATAATAAATGAAAAAATCCCAATTTTATGAAATACGTATATATTTGGGTGGATGGATGGTAGATCGTGGGAAGGGCAAAAGGGAATTAGCTAGGTTGGCAGATCAACCTTGTCATCGCTATAGATTTGAAAGCGGAGTTTCTGATTCGGCCGGCCGCTTCCGACCAAAGTGATGCATACCGCAGCTGCAGCGACTCCAAAGCTAAAAATAGCTCCGAATCCCCAGTTCCATTTATTGATCAGCCCACCACCACTGCTGACATCGCCATCAACCGTCAATCCCGGCGGTGCTGAAAAACAACTGTCGCCGTCGTCCCCGGCCTTTCTCGTGGGAGAATCCATGTCCCCCTGGAGTTCAACTAATTCCTTCAAGGAAACATGCTGCGATAATACTCTTTCCGCGGTTGGATCCGGCATAGCTCTGTTATGATCGCGGGGGATGAATCTGTTCGTTGTTTCGACGAATTGATTGGATGAATTGTCCGGCGGAGGACAGATGAAGTAGTTCATTTCCAAGACGCTGTTAGCGACGCCGTGGAGACTTCCACACGCAAATTCATCGGCGGCATATTCATCTTCCTCATGGATTTGAAGAAATCCGTCATCTGACAAGACCTCCCACTCATCAAGATCCATTTCAAATAGAGCGGATTTGAGGGAATGGCGTATAAATGAATTAAGCAGCAAGCTAAGGCTTATAATTTCCTTGCTCTTGGGACTTGGAAGAGTGAGAATTGATTTTGACACGTAACAGAGCTTTATTATTGTTGAATGAATGACAAGTGGGAGCACATTCCTTCCATTGGGGCCTCCAGAAATTTCTGCTCATTTGTAACCCCTGCTCCCTAGTTTATATTCAATTCGGCGAATAACAAAAATAATTATTTACATATTATATGATGAGTGAATAAATGTTGTCTATCATATTTCAAATGTAGTCATTTATATTCAATTTTTACACTTTATTACTCATATTTCCATAAATATGTTTTATTTTTTTAATATTTCTGACAATTTTTTTAAATCATTGAACCGGAACAAATTCATTCGGATACAGGATATACGATACTATCTTCGCTCCAAAAAAATTGACCAATTTGACTTTTCTAGGTCAATGGTGTTAAAGTCTGAACAATGATTTTAGATATTATATTTGCGTGTAATATATAAACTTTACACTTTTATAAAGGATTTTCTAATAAAGAATATGCTCATATAATATTCATATTTTAAATATTTTTGTATTAAAAAATATCATTAGTCAAACTTCAACACCATTGACCAATAAAAGTCAATTTGGCCAATTTTTTGGGAGGGAGAGAGTGGTATATAGGGGGGGTGTTTTCTGATTCTTTGGAACTGATTCTGATTCTGCTTCTTTTTTAAACTAGAAGCAGAATCAAAATCAGTTTTCAGAAGTTGGTCTCCCCCAGCTTCTAAAAACACTGATTCTAGGAGTAAATTAGACACCAGAATCACTTTTGCACTTTCATCCAAACACTTCAACTTTTGCTTCTGCTCCCTGAAGGAGCAGAAGCAGTTTTAAGAATCAGATCCAAACACTCCCATAGTGCCCATACCCTATTGTAAGATATAGAAACGCACATTCACACAAGATGCCAGGGGTGTAATCGCTAATGACATATGGATCGGATATGAATTTCGCATTCCTTGGTACTTAGCCAACAATACTCAATTACTAATGAATCATGAATTAGATAAAGTACAAATGTAAAGAAGTTTGGACTCTGGAGAGACTAGCAACAAATAAAATTATAAAACATACTGAAATGTAGGGGTGGGCAAAAATACCGAACCGGCATGGTACTAGACCGATAAACGAAGTTTGAAACGGATCTCAATTTTTTTGTCCCGAACAGGACCGTACCGGTTCCAAACAATGCCATGACGGGTTTTCATAAAATGAGAACCGGTACCGGACCAAACCGGTCTGAAGTATGATTTCATACTTTAATTATTTAAATTTGTACTACTATAGTTTATCTGAAATTTATTAATTACCTCATCCGTCCCAAATTGATTTGCAAAGTCAACATTTTTGGTCAATGTTAATATTAAGTCCTACCTAATGATAATTAATACAATTATTAATAATTAAAATTTACATATTTAGATACCACATTAAAATCTCATTAAAGTTGCAAAATATTAGAATATACGAGGTACTTTATTTGAAAGGCCAAATTAGAATATAATTAAAAAGTGAAATCCTAATTAAGTGAATAAAAATGAACTATTTGACCAAAAAAGGTTGACTTTGCAAATCAATTTGGAACAGAGATAGCGTGAAATACGAAAACTGATAAATTGTGTAGATTTTTTGAGGTGGCTAAACTTTAATTTTTTCTTAAACACTTGGAAAAAATGGCATTATTTGGTATTGGTATGGCATGGTACCGTTCCGTCTAAAAATGGACCGTACCGAATGGGTTTAGGTCTAAGACTGAACCGAACCGTTTCAATTGTAACGGTACGAGTACAGGTTCGGCAAAATATTTGACCGGATCATGCCCACCCCTAATGAAATGAGTCAGACAATCAACATTGTGGCCGGCCGGCGCCACATAACGCCGCGCGCAAAGCTTAATTGCTTCTAGAAATATATATGCCGCAAGATCGAATTCGGACACTACTGATCGATCATCTAGTCGCGCGCTCCCAAAAACGGGGTGGGGGTACGGTGCCTTGTCACATTATCAATAAAAAAGGTGACAACTCCGGTACCCATTTAAAAAATGGGGTACCGTACCTACCATTCACTTGATTAATCCACATCATTATATCATTTTTAATTTAGATTTAAATAATTCAATTGCATCATTCTGATTGGTCCATGTGGACAAAAGTATAGTACCTTAAGGGTACCCTAGAATCTACCATAAAAAAAATGCGGCTAAATCTACTTGGTAATAGTTTGGGGTTGATCAGATTTGAGGTACGTACTAATCTGGACTTACTATTCAGATTGAACCATTCTCACAAAATTTGACTCCAATACCTATGTACATAAAATTCCGTCCTTTTTCAAATATCAAGGGATTTGTTGGAATTTGTACACTGGTTTTATGTACACCTAGTATTTTTTATTCACATTTGAGGTTTTGGCTAGCTACATCATGATTTTGACTCGTTTGTGTACGTTGTGTATCTTGTTTAGTTTATCCATTTCTGTGTGTTACTTGTTATTTCTCCCTTTTACTTTACGATACTTTCATACAAGTGTTTCACTAATCACTACTACAACAACATTCAAACCTTAGTCCCAAAAGATATTGGGGTCGGCTAACATGAATCGATACATGATATCACCACCAAAAGGAAAAGAAAGAAAATAAAGATAAAAAAGATAAGCTATTATGAAACAGATAATATAAAAAGAGATGAATATACCTAAAAATGATAAAATAAAGGATAAAAATAATGTTTATATATATAAGGATAAAAGGATTAAAAAAATGAGGGGAAAAGATAACAAGAGATCATTCCTTCACACGAATACTCGCCTTCCACTTTGCACTCTCCAAAGTAATACCCTCATCTAACCCAAGAAGAAGCATATCACTTCAGACTCTCCTAACCCACGTCTGTTTGGGCCTTCCTCTCCCTCTCTTCTTTGCCTCTTCTCCACACATCTCAACTCGTCTGACAGGTGCATCACTCGGTCTTCTACGCACATGACCGAACCACCATAGGCGCGACTCCCGCATCTTGTCTTCAATAGGTGCTACTCCCACCCTTTGTCTGATTGTCTCATTCCTCACGTGGTCCTTCCTAGTATGCCCACACATCCACACAGCATGATATGCGCATCTCCGCCAAACTCATCTTTTGAATGTGACATTGTTTCACTACATAAAAAAATTCGTTGAAATGAGAAATTTTCAAATCATTACCCTAGCAGAAAATATAAATTGGGATGAACGAGTAAAAGAGTCAGATAGCTAGGATTGACTCAAAACATTATGGACGACAAATATTCAAAATTTTCTTTTTAGTTACACTCTTGACAAAAGATCGAGTAACTTCATGCCATATGTTTACCCCTTCTCATAGCATGTCAGTCTTATTTCTTTATCACTTCTATCTATTCTTTTTTGCCCAACTTTGTTCTTTAACCACGTGTAATGTTTTTATATATGATGGAACATCATTTCATACTTCTCGGTAAATCAAAGAAACCATCGCAAAGTTTTCACGATTGATCTTCGGAGATTATAAATTTATGGATGGAAAAAAGTAGAGAAAATTGCCTTGCGTAAGACCAAATCATATGCAGTTTACAAAAGTAAGACTCGTCCATGTTTTTGCCATCCGTAGGGTTATTTTAGCTCTATTTTAGCAAACGTTATTGTTTCTTTCCATTTTTGCCCTTCTTCATTGCAGGTCAACCAAGGAGAAGACGCGTCCGAGGAAATCGACTCATCTCCTCGTCGCAGATTACAACGTAGTTCACCGCCGTTCATCGCTGCCGCCAGAGAGGTCGTCGCCTGTCATCGCCGGAAACGTAAACACACACAAAGGCAAAAAATCAATTTCGTAGCAATCACGGCCATGGAGAACTATCCGTGAGATCGAGTTCAATATCCTCCCTAGGACGATGCTAATAAGCCTTTCCTCCCAATTTCAAGGTCAAGTTCAATGTCCTCCCAGTTTTACGTTACCTGCTCTGTTATTGAGCTATTATCAGAATTTATTGTCTAGTTAATGACTATTTATTGTCTATGTATTGTCTGCTATTGAGCTATTATTAGAACTTATTGTCTATATACTGACTACTTATTGTCTATGTATTGCTTTTGGATCTGATTTCTTCAAAAGTTTTGCAGAGTATCTGGTGACTTTGTGAAAATATGAAATTGAAGTTCGAAATTGGCAAAATCAATGTTCAAAATCAGGAAGAAGAAGAAGAAGAAGAAGAAGAAGATGACGATGATGATGAGGATGAAGAACAAACCTATGGCGGTGGCGTCCCTGGAGCAGCTATCTGATGCGTCGGCGATGGTGTTTCAACACCGGTAATGGTGAAATCAACAACGGTGGTGATGCTGGTCGTCGATCGATCTCAATCGTGAAGAGGAGAGAGCAAGGTATCTGATGCGTCGTCGATCGATCGATCTCAAGGTGTCGGGTCGGTGAAGTTTGCGCAAAGTTTGTTTGATGCGCAGGGTTATTTAATCAAGAGGGTAATTTGGTCAAAACAGATGTACTTAGGTCTTATGCTAATCTGTAGTCTGGAAAATCAGGGTGATTAGATCCTATTTCTTCAAATCTCCCAAAAAAGTAACACTACGTAAATTTATGAATCAACGATTACGTTTTGTTTGTCAACTAATTATTAGATGCTAACGTTTCATTACTTTTTGATTGGTCGGTTACATTAGCATATTTTTTTAAGTGACACGTAAGTTTATGAATTAACAATTACGTATTGTTACTTTCAAAAAAATTACGTGTTGTTTTGTTGTTCAAAATCTTCAATTGCATGGCATATTACATAAATCAATAGATTTCCTAGATACTGACACTTTTAAATGTAAAACGTGAATAGTATATTTAAATTGTGAGTAATATTTAAACAAATGTGACTAGTGTTATTGTGTTAAAAAACTGCGTAACATGTGATTAATATTTAAATTAAAATGTGACTACATTTTTAAACTAGTTAAAAAATGTGACTAGTAAAAAACACTACTTAAAATGTGAGTATTATATAAATAAAAGATGTGACTACATAAATAAAACGTGACTACGTAAATCTGTTGATAGAAATGTGACTATTACAATTATATTTAATATTTTTATTATGTAATACGTAGTATCATTGTTCTAAAAATCCGCCTAGATGACTAAGCGTCGCTAGGCCGTGGTCATACGCTCTTATTTCATACTCCGTATATTATATCAGTGGGAAAAAACGATAGGGCAGCTAGGCACGCGGTGGCCAGGCAGTCCAGATTATTTTTTTCCAACTCAATTTTCTTCTTTCTATTTTGTCTTAAAACATCCCTTAATCAACAATTATTCTATTCCTATAGATTTTAGTTTCATAATCTTACAATAAGAAGTAATAGCGCTTAACATCTTTTAAAACACTGTAATATATACTTGTTAAACTATGAATAATGTAATGTATGTAGTATATATAATAAGGAATAATGTAATGTATGTAGTATATATAATAAGTGTTGAAGTTTATTTCTTCAACTACAAAGTCCTAACACCTTCCTTAGGATTTCGAGTGGAATAGTTTTTGTGGATTAATTATGAGTATTTGGTGAACACAATCAGATAAATGGACAAGTCAAGAGTATAGTAAGTGGGTCGTGTCTTATTAGACAATAATAAGAGTCTATCACAACACACTTCGATACAAGCCTGCTAGGCCGATCGTCTATTCTGAGCCGGGAAGCGGGGGAATAATTGCTATTGCTAGAGGGTATAAGTTATCAACCCCTTATAATGAAATAAATGCTACTGTTTATACTACCAATGGGTAGATGATGTTGATGATGTGGAGGATTGTGAGTTACTAGCTTTCTAATCACCAAATCTACTGCATTAAATGTATTTTCCGTCAATATCTGGTTTCCTGTCAAGGGCTCTAGACGAGCATCCTGCATCCCCCTTGGTTTCAGGGCTCCAGACCCAAGTAAGCACAAGGATGAGTCTCCGCTCGACCTATGCCGGTTGTCCTCTTCGAGGATCCTGAGTCATCACCTGGCTCCAATTGGCCAAGGATACTTACGCCGAGCGTCTTCTTGCATAAGACGAGTGTCTGATGATTTTCTTGTTGAACCGTGCCCAAATTGGGCATTGGTTGTTTCCTTGCCAAGGGGTAATGGACCGTTCCTCTGTCGGTGCCTATTGTGAGAATAATTACCAGGTTTAACCATAATGGTAGCCCTGGCAGATATATTTATAGAAAACAAGAGTCATAATTACAACATGAGTCCACAATAATAAATAAGTATACACTACTCTATTACACCCCCTCAAACTATGCAGGGGAAACGAAGCGCAGATTGTTACGAAGTACAGTAAACCGTTGTGGAGACAAACAGTTAGTAAAAGTATCTGCCAGCTGAGCCTGAGTAGGAACATACTTCACATGAAGATCACCATGAGCCACATGTTCATGAACAAAATGATAGTCATTATTAATATGTTTGCTTCTGGCATGGTGAATATGATTAACTAAGAGATATGATGCGAAAACATAATCACACGATAGCGTAGTGGGTTCGCGAACAGGAAAACCCAACTCAAACAAAACTGAACGAACGTGAATAGTATCCTGAACAGTGAACGCCACGGCTCTATATTTTGCTTTAGTGAAAGACCAGGAGACAGTAGGCTGCTTCTTGGAATGCCAGGAGATTAACTTCGGCCCTAGGAAAATTGCAAAACCGGATGTAGAATGACTTGTATCAGGGCAGCCAGCCCAATCAGCATCCAAATAATCAATAATCGATGGACAATCACGAGAAGCCCGTTGAAGAAGCCACGAGTGGAGATGCCCTGAAAATACGCATAACAACCAACATATGTGAAGTACGAGGTGCATGCATAAGTTGAGAAATCAAGTGTACAACAAAAGTAATATCTGGCCTAGTCAAAGTTAAATATTGTAATGCACCTACCATACTCCTGTACTCCGTGGCATCAGCAAGAAGCTCCCCATGAGTAAGGGAAAGTTTAGTGCGACTAGGTAGAGGAGAACGGACAGGTTTTAAAGTATGGAAGTGAAAATGAAGGAGAAGATCAGATATGTACTTATGCTGAGAGAGAAATAAACGGACGAAGTCCGAGACGCATGTATCCCGAGAAAGAAACGCAAATCCCCCAAATTCTTCATGGCAAAACATTTAGCCAAAAGAGATAAAAATCGAGTGACTATTTTTGGATAATTGCCTGTAACAATAATATCATCAACATATAGCAAGAGGTATATAATATCGGAATTGCGCCGAAAAATAAATAAAGAATTATCAGACCTGCTGCAGACAAAACCATGAGAAAGAAGAAAACTACTAAACCGGTGAAACCAAACACGAGGTGCTTGTTTGAGATCATAGATAGCTTTACGAATCCGACACAGGTGATGAGGAAACTGAGAATGGACAAAACCAGGTGGCTGACGCCTCCTACGTAAGATGACCATGAAGAAAAGCATTTTTCACATCAAGTTCGCGTATTGGCCAACAAAACGACACAACTAAAGTAAGAACAAGACGAACAGTGATGGGTTTAATAACAGGGCTAAAAGTCTCAGTAAAATCAATGCCTGCCTACTGATTAAACCCCTGAAAAACTAATTGTGCTTTATAGCGATCAACAGACCCATCAGCTAGATAAGTCTTATAAATCCATTTAGACTCAACCACATTCTTTTTAGCATTAAATGGAACTAAATCCCAAGTATGATTAGAGATAAGGGAATTAAATTCCTCAGCCATAGCGGCTCTCCACTTAAGATGTTTATTTGCAGAAGAAAAACATGTGGGATCAGGTGTGTTAACAACTGTGTTTAAATAAAAATGGTTTTTGGTTTAGAAATTCCGGATTTGGACCAGGTTTGCATTGGATGAATATTAACAACCGGGGAAGAACTCACGGGTTGTGGTGTGGTGGACGTGACAGTTGAGCTCTCAGTCGGGGGGGGGGGGGGGGGGGCTGAGGTCTGGAGAGGAAGGGGAGGCTGAGGGTGAGGAGCTGATCAGTCTGGAAGCTGCGCCAGAGACAGAGCCGCTGGTCATGGAGGTCTGGTCATATGAGGAAGATGGCAGGCCGAGTGAAGGAGTAATGGGATTGTCGTGGACTGGCTGGGGTCGCAGCATGGAGGGCGAAGGGGAAGCTGCGTACTATACAGTGGCTGTTGGTCTAGGCTAGGATGATAAATGGGAGAGGCAGTAGAAGACACACTAGATGGAGACACAGTAGTACGGACTAGATCAGAACAAGGAAAAATATTTTCTAAAAATCCGACATTTCTACTAATATAAACACGGCCAGAAATAGGATCAAAACAGCGGTACCTGATTTGTGTGTAATTTCCGTTTATATTTGTACGTTTTTAATTAGTTTTGTGATTCGCTAGTTTGGAAATTACACACTTTTTGTGTAATGTTTTGTTTTATTTAAATTGGTGTAAATTGTTTAGATTAAGATTTTTCTGAGAATAGGACAGGTTGAATACACCCAAAGGATCAAGAAATGGATCCCACAGACCAAAAGATGTGCAAGGGAACAAGATCAAAAATTGATTTGGAAAAAGGTTCATATACCCGGTCGGGTATATGCAATACCCGATCGGGTATTGAACCGATTTTGTTGTCAAAATCAAATCCGGGAAACAAACAATCATGACGGAAAAATATTTGAAGATTTGGTCCCATACCCGATCGGGTAGACCGACACACCCGGTCGGGTATGGGGTGACGTTTTCCATTTCCGGGAAACTACTGAGTACCCGATCGGGTACCCTAAATATCTGGTCGGGTATATGATCCTGACACCTCCATTTCCCTATAAATACACCCATTTTCCTTCACATTAAAGGCATCCCTTCTTCCATATACTTAAGCTCAGTTTAGAATAGTTATTTCTTACATTTTTATAGCATGCTTAGTCTCCATTTCTTGGTTTTGCTCTTGAAGCTTGTTGATTATTAAAGTTTTTTTTTAAAACGTTGATTATTAAAGTTGTGAGTTATTTTCTTAACTTCTTCTCTTGATTATTAGTTCTTCCCTTAATCTCATTCTATATTAATGTTGGAGGGTTGCTAAGTGACAGTTAGATAACGTTCCGACATTAATTATTACTAGAAACGACCAACGAACCGATGGTTAATCGTTGATGGTTTCACAAGTAAGTAACTTCGGTTTATTAATGCACGGTCGTGGTTAAACTTAAGATGGATTAATTTTGTTGGTTAAACCGAAACCGTTGTGTTAAGGTTATCAATCTCAATTGATTTCATCAAGGAGTTAAAAAGATTAAATGGTACTATTAAATCGGTATACGACGTTGTTCTATATTTGATTAATAGTAAGAGTTGTTAAAGAACGGTCGTTGTTAATAGCTACCTTCGATGAATTGGATATACTCCTCGATTGAGTATTCGAGAGGGGATAAGTTATATATATAACAAGGATCGACTAAAATATATCAACAAGTGGAAAGTAGCAAAGTCAAGACCCTTTTATTCTTGAATTAAATCTCATATACGTCGTTCATCTTCGTGTTTAATTAAATTAAATCACTCAATCCCAAAACCCCCCTCTATCTCAAATGCTTTGGCCGAAAATCACAAATTTCAAATTTGAAGCATGTGTTCTTGGGCAAAAATCACACTCTACCGGTGATTATCTCAAATGCCTTGGCCCAAGAACAAGAGGAAAGATTGATTGCGGTTCTCAAGGAGTACAAGTTGGCCATTGGATGGTCTATTGTCGACATCAAAGGCATTAGCTCATCCACATGCATGCACCGAATCATACTCAAAGACGAAGCCAAAGCAGTGAGGCAACCGCAAAGAAGATAGAATGCACCCATGATAGAGGTGGTGAAAAAGGAGGTGATCAAATTGCTTCAAATGGAAATCATCTTTCCCATTTCCAATAGCAAATGGGTGAGTCCAACACAAGTAGTGCCAAAGAAGACCGGAGTAACGGTCATTGAGAACAAAGATGGAGAGATGGTGCCCACCCAAGTTCAAAACGGGTGGCGAGTTTGCATTGACTATCGAAGGCTCAATTCGGTAACTAGAAAAGACTTCTTTCCATTACCCTTCATTGATCAAATGCTAGAGAGGCTAGCCGGGCACAAGTTCTATTGTTTTCTTGATGGTTACTCCGGGTATTTCCAAATACCAATAGCCCCGGAGGACCAAGAGAAAACAACCTTCACATGTCCATTTGGCACTTTTGCCTACCGGCGAATGCCCTTTGGATTATGCAACGCACCGGGCACCTTTCAAAGGTGTATGATGAGCATCTTCTCCGAATTTGTGGAGGTATTCATGGATGTCTTTATGAATGATTTCACAATCCATGGGGACTCTTTCGACACTTGCCTCTATCATCTTACTCTTGTGCTCAAAAGTTGTATTGAATCCAACCTTGTTCTAAACTCCGAAAAATGTCACTTCATGGTAGAACAAGGGATAGTTCTTGGGCATGTTATCTCATCAAAAGGAATCAAAGTGGACAAAGCAAAAATTGACGTGATTCAAACGCTCCCATACCCCACAAATGTACGGGACATCCGCTCTTTCCTTGGTCACGCCGGTTTCTATAAAAGGTTCATAAAAGACTTCTCCAAAATTTCATCTCCCCTATGCAAACTTTTGAAAAAGGAGGTAGAATTTGATCTCAATGATGAATGCAAGGAAGCTTTTGACACTTTGAAAGCAAGGTTGGTAACCGCCCCAATTATACAAGCTCCCGATGGGTCTCTCCCTTTTGAGATCATGTGTGACACTAGTGACTATGCGGTGGGGGCTGTTCTTGGCCAAAAGATCGGGAGTGCTGCTCATGTCATCTACTATGTCTCCTCAACTCTCAATGAAGCTCAAAAGAACTACTCCACCACCGAGAAGGAAATGCTAGCGGTGGTCTTTGCTTTGGAGAAATTTCGTTCCTACCTTCTTGGAACGAAAGTTATTGTTTACACCGACCATGCCGCTCTCCGTTTCCTTATGACGAAGAAAGAGGCCAAGCCAAGACTCATTCGATGGGTCCTTCTACTGAGTGAGTTTGACGTGGAGATTAAAGACAAGAAAGGAGCAAAGAACTTGGTGGCCGATCATCTAAGCCGCATCATTCCTCACAAAGACATCGAAGGCCTCCACACAAATCTCATCAAAGGCGAATTTCCGGACGAGACTCTCCTCTCCATCAAAATGATACAACCATGGTACGCAAACATTGTAAATTTTCTTGTTTCCGGCAAATTTCCTCCACAACTCTCAAAATCCTAAAAAGAAAAATTAAAAATGAATTCAAGACTCTATATATGGGATGACCCATATTTGTGGAAACATTGTAAGGATCAAATAATCCGAAGATGCATCCCCGAATATGAGATAGCCCACATAATAGAGTTTTGCCATTCTTATGCTTGTGGAGGACATTTCGGCCCGAAACGAATGGCGATGAAGATCCTTGAAAGTGGTTTTTGGTGGCCGAGTGTATTTCGTGATGCACATGGCTTTTGTCGATCTTGTAACAATTGCCAAAGAGCGGGCAACATTTCTAGGAAAAACGAGATGCCTCAAAACCCTATGCTTTTCTGTGAAATTTTCGATGCATGGGGTATCGACTTCATGGGACCTTTCCCAAACTCTCAAGGTAACATCTACATCTTCCTTGCGGTGGATTACGTCTCAAAATGAGTGGAGGCAAAAGCCACCAAAACTGATGATGCCAAGGTGGTGGCTAACTTTCTCAAATCACACATATTTACAAGGTTCGGGGTCCCCCGAATTTTAATAAGCGATCGAGGAACACATTTTTGTAATAAAATTGTGGGATCCCTATTAAAAAATATGGTGTGACTCACAAGATCTCTACAACTTACCACCCTTAAACAAATGGCCAAGCGGAGGCTTCAAATCAGGAGTTGAAATATATACTCCAGATAACAGTGAGCCCAAACCGCAAAGACTGGAGCGTACGCATTGATGATGCATTATGGGCATACCGAACTACCTACAAAACTCCTATCGGTATGTCCCCATATAGACTTGTGTTTGGCAAAGCATGTCATCTTCCCGTGGAGCTCGAACACAAGTCATATTGGGCGGTGAAAGAATTCAACCTCAATCTTGACGAGGCCGGTATACATAGGAAGCTCCAATTGCAAGAATTGGAAGAACTCCGCCTGGATTCTTATGACAATGCGGAGGTCTACAAAAGAAAGACGGAGTTGCATGATAAAATGATCATAAGGAAGGACTTTAAACTTGATGACAAAGTCCTCCTATTCCAATCACGCCTTCGTTTATTCCCGGGAAAGCTTAGATCCCGTTGGACTGGACCATCCAAAGTGGTCAAAATATATCCACACGGGGCGGTGGAAATTCAAGACCTGGAGACGGAAGAGGTGCTCAAGGTGAACGGATAACGATTAAAACCCTTCTTTGAGGGTTTTCAACCCAAAAACGTGGAAGTCATAGACATTTCTGAACCGGTCTATCAATAAGGAGCAACGGAGATATCGTCAAGCCACGACGTTAAATAAAGTGCTTCTTGGGAGGCAACCCATGAAAGGTATGTTTTCTTAATCTTATTCAGTTGT